AGATGGGGTCTGGCTCTTGCTCAGGCTGGTTTCGAACTCCTGAGCTTGAGCGATCCACCCGCCTCAGCCTCCCAGAGTGCTAGGATTACAGGCATGAGCCACTGCGCCCGGCCCCTCTGTTAGATAATTTTGACAATTTCATACACCCAAATCTCCTATCAAGATATTGACCAAGGATGTGGGGAAATTAGAGCCCTTGTGCATTGCTGATGGGAATGTAAAATGATTCAGCTTGCCATGAAAAATAATTGTGGTTCCTCAAAAAATTAAACAAAATTACCATATGCTCCATCAATTTCACTTCTGAGCATATACCCAAAAGAATTGAAAGCAGGGACTCAAACAGATATTTGTACGCCTATGTTCATAGCAGCATTATTCACAGTAATCAAAAGGTGGAAAAACCCAAGTGCCCATTGTTGGATGAATGGATAAACAGATTGTGGTATATACATATAATGGGATATTATTCAGCCTTAAAAAGGAAGGAGATTCTGATATAAGCTACAACATGGATGAACCTTGAGAACATTATGCTAAAGAAAACAACACAGTCACAAAAGGACAAATATATGTGCTCACTTATGTGAGGTATCTAGAGTAGGCAAATTCATAGAAACAGAAAGTAGAATGGTGGTTGCCAGGTGTTGGGGGAGAAGGGGGAATGAAAGTTAGTGGTTAATGGGTACAGAGTTTCAGCTGGGGAAAATGAAAAAGTTCTGGAGATGGATGGTGGTGATGGTTGCACAACAATGTGAATGTATTTATGCCACTAAACGATACACTTAAAAACGGTTAAAATGTAAATTTTATGTTTTGTATATTTTACCATAATAAAAAATGGCTAAAAATTTTTTAATGTTTAATAAAAGATATACAGCAATGTTTTCAAACTTTATTTCATTATCACCTCTCTAAAGAGACTTTTTAGACATTTTTTCTAATCACTCCCTCCCCATGTACTGTATAATACCACAGATAAACTGTATGTCTGTTTATGTACTGTGGCCCTTTGGAGGACCACAAACCATTATAATGTCTTAAGATTTTTTTGCCCCTCTTCAAGGACCAACTTTTGCTCCATTTGGGACAATATCACCCCTGTCAGGAATTTATAACATAGAGTATCACTATCACCCTAGAATGTTCATTCATGCCCCTTCCCAGTTAATCCCCAGTGCCCTCCCAGAGGCAACTATTTATTCTGATTGTTTCCACTATAGATTAGTTTTGACTTGTTTTTGCCTAGTGGCAAAATGGAATTATACATTATATACTCTTTTGCATCTGGTTCTTTCACTTGCCATAATGTCTGTAAAATTCATCTGTGTTGCTGCATGTCTCGGTAATTTGTTTCTTTTTATTACTGAATAGTATTCTAATTGCATGAATATACCACAATTTGTTTATCCATTCACCTGTCAATGAGCATTGTATTGTTTCCAGTTTGGGCTACTGTGATTAAAGTTTCTGTGAACATCTGTGTCTTTATGTTGATACATGTTTTCATTTCTTGGGTAAATATGTAGGAATGGAATTGCTTAGTCACAGGGTAGGTGTGTGTTTAGTTTTATAAGGAGGGATTTGATTTTAAAGAAGGTTCATTAGCTCATTTAATTCTTACATCAACACTGTGAGGCTAGTACTATTATCATCCTCATTTTACAGTTGAGGATACTGAGTCCGTGAGGAGTTAGGAAACTCAAAACAATATTCTAGAAGGTTTGGGGTGTGCTTACTCCTACCCCCTCCCACTTCCTGTATCACTTGGCCCTTCCTGCCTCTAAGAAATCTCCCTGAAAAATTATTCAGATTCCCTAAAGGCTTTTTCAAAGTCTTCATCCATCCCTTTTCCCCTCAGCAGGCTTTGCCCCTCTGTGCAACCTCTCCTTTTGCTTCTGGAACTTTCCTGGTTCTCCTGCTCTCCCTGTCCGCTCTTTTTCCCCTTTTGACTTCTCATGCTCTCCTCAGATTTGATGCTCCCCGAGGTTCTGTGCTCTGCCCTCTATCTTTTTCCTCCCCAACTTGCTGTTCCTCAAATCTGTCATTCATCCTGCAGACATTTAGCAAGGGCCTGCACGGGGCCAGGCCTGGTGCCAAGCGCTGGGGCACAGCAATGAATGAGACAGACAAGATCCAGCTCCCACGGGGCTTACAGTTGAAGGAGGAGGTGGCTGTTAATCTAGGAAGCGTACTAACGAGTTATCTTTGCCAACTGAGGTCCATACTGTGCAGAAAAGTCACTGGGCCCCGTCTGGGCATCCAGGGGAAGTTGCTCCAAGCAAGCATTGCATGAGCTGAAGTTTGAAGGAAAACTTTTTCAGGCAGAAAAGCAATGAGTGCTAAGGCCCAGTGGACTCATTCTGTGACTTTACCTCCACACCCAGTGAGGACCGGGCCAAACCTGCCTGCTTCAGCACCCTGAACCAGCAGGTGTGAATGAAGGAATTGGGGGCTGATGAATGAATGAGTGAAAAAGCACCTGCCTACATAGATCTGGAAGACGTGTGTGGTTGAAGCTGGGCGGCCCAGAGGGCCATGGGCTAGGCAAGATGAAGGGGTCAGCAGGGCCCAGACCACTCGGGACCTGAAAGTGTGTCAGGCAGGAAAAGGCCCGAAGCAAACTGGTCCTTTGAAATGATGACTCTGGCTGCTGCCTGGAGAGGGGACTGTAGGAACAGAGTGGAACAGGGGATTAACCATCTAGATGAGAGGGGAGGGCACCTTGGACTCAGCGGAGCCTGGGGACTGGGAGAGGAGTGAATGGATCAGAGAGATATTTAGAGGGTGGAAGGTGGGGGAAGGAGGTCTATGGGAGGTCTCCAGGATGCCTCAGCTTTCTGGTGTGGGTGGCTGGCTGGATGGTGGTGGCCTTCATTGAAGTAGACAGCAACAGGAGGATGACTAGGTTTGGTAGTGGGCTGCAGGGAGGGGAGGCAGAGGTCAGGAGTTCAGTTTGCCTGTACTAGATTGAGGGGCTCTGGGCAGATCGAGCAGGTGGCTGGCTGTATGGGTTGGGCTCAAAGCAGGCCTGGGCCCATGCGCTGACCTGCTGGCTCCAGCAGCACAGCCACCCTCCCAGGTCCCCAGCCTCAATCCTCAGCAACTGTAGCTGCTTTCTGCCCACCCCCCACCCACCTCTCACAGCCACAGGGTGGGCCAACTTATCCTCTTCACCTGTGACATGGGGACAATAATAGTATCTCTCTCAGGGGTAATTGTGAGCAGTAAGTGAATTAGGACACAAAAGATGCTGAGAAGGCACTAATCATTGTTAGCTCCTTCCCTCCCCTCCCCACAATACAAATATTTTTCCAGCACTGTCCATGGACCAGGCTTAGCGCTAAAACATCTCTCAACAGCCCGGTCTTGAACTTGTCACACTCCTGCTCAAAATATCTTTAGTGTTTTCCACCCAAAAGGCTGTCCACTTTCAGACCTTGCACCAGCTGGTCCCCAGCCCCTTCCCAGCCTCCCTCCCCATCACCCAGACGCCAGCCCCTGCCCCAAAAGCACATGTCCCACTTCCCGCCTTCTCCTTCCCAAGTGCTGCTCTTTTTCCAGGCACCTGCCCAGGACCCTTCTCCTAACCCCATGGGAGGTGAGCCCCAGCCCTCCAAATTTCTGCAGCGCTTCCACTCCCACCACTCCCTGGGATTCACTGGGCTCCTTTGGACTTGTCTGACTCCCCTTTCCCAAGGCATCAGCTCCCAGAACAGAGCCAGGCACCCACATTTCATCAGGGTGGTGTCCCGGTGCCTGGCATCCTGCCCAACATGCCACAGGGCTTGGTCCATACTGAAATATTCAGGAAATAAACAGAACCTTGAATGTGCTGTTTTCATGTCAATCCATCTGATCTTCCACAAAGGCCACAAAACAGGCCAGAAGGTCACCCTGGCCTAGGGACAATAAACCCTTTCCCAGGAACTGCTCTGTGAGACAAAGTCCAGGACAAGCAAACAGAGAGCAGTGAGGCCTCTGGGTCGCCTCGTTGTATCAGGGTCACTGCAGGCAGCATATCCCACCCTGGGCCACAGACTGGGCTGACCAGGGAGCCCTGTCTGCCCAGTGTGCTGTGGCTTGTGGGGGACAGGGAGGGTTTGGACATAAAATTAACTCTAGTCCTCTGTCATTACGTGACAGGTTGGGCTTTGGAGTCTGAAAGACCTGAGTTTGAATCTCTGTTTTGTCACTTGCTGTGGGGCTGTTGTCCCAGGGACACCATGAGGACAAAATTAGACAATAAAAGGTTTAGAGCAATATGTGGCACATATTCAGCGCTCAATCATGAAAACATGTTACCGTCTTTGTCTTCCCTTTACCCACGGACGTCCCTGCCCAGGGGGAAGGACAATGAAGCTTACTTCTGTTCTTTCCACATCTGGCCGAGAAGGTTCAGAGAGATGAAGCTACTGACCTAAAGACAGGGTCACCTCCCCCGACCACACCAGACCGCATCTGACAAGCTATTGCCAGATTGGCACCACTAGCATCATGGGCGTGCTTAGACACCACGTACCTTTTAAGCCACTGTATCTGCCTCCCTGGCCAAAGCATGACTGAAAATTTTGTTGATGCTTAAAAAATTTTGAAAGTAAATCCTAATGAAGTTTAGACATCCATTTTTATTGATACATAATATTTTACATATTTCTGGGATACATGGGATATTTTGTTACATGCACAGAATGTGTAACAATCAAGTTAGAGTACCTGAGAAATCCATTTTTAACCGTGGCTCCTTGCCACACGTCACCACACCACTGGTGCTGCCCTGTGCCAGCCCCGGGGTGAGCTCGTGCTGGCTGAGTGCACTTCTATGCAGAGTGGCACAGGCTGCAGTCTGGTCAGGAGTTTGCACAGCCCAGAGCTGGGCACCTCCCCAAGCAGAAAGCTTTCACTGCTGACGTTCGATTTCCCAAACTGTAATATTTGCCTTCACCTTGTCTAATGTTTAACCCCTGTTTACCCAGCACTGTGTTGCTTAACGGTCTGAGGGAAGTGACAGGGCAGTGGGAGCCTGGAGACCATGGACGGTGCCATGGGGCTGCGGGTGCTGCTGTGCGTGTGTCTGGTGTCCCTCCTCGCCCTGCAGGCCATGCCTGCCCCGGGCCGGGCTTCAGGCAGGTCCAAGGGCAGTGAGGTATGTGGCTAAGCCCTGAGGGCAGAAACAGGCAGCTAAACCTGGATGGGGCCTGGGAGGGACGCAAGATCCCCACTCCAGAGGCCAGGGCCACCCCCATCACCTCAACTTCTTCTGACTGGAGAAATGACATCCCAGCAGCATCGGGGGGTGGGGGTGAGGCTGAGGGCAGAGGGCACAGGCCGTGCTCCACTCCCACCCCTGAACAGGTAGGCCACGGTCCCCTCAGCATTCCCACTCACACTTGCCCTGGTTTTGTTTTGCAGAAGCGACAGGCTGTGGACACAGTGAGTGAGAGTCTTGGCAAAGGGGTCTGTGATGGGGCCCTTATCACAGGCTTGCTCCCTTGGGGGTACTGCTCCGTCAGTGCCATGGGCAGAGGGAAACCCCGTGTCCTGGAAATGGGGGCTTGCTCCCTTGTCACCTCACGCCCCACTTCAGTCTCAGGCAGAGAGCAGGGGTCTTCCCAGGAGGTCTGCACTGTTCTTCCAGATCTGGGTACCTTGCACCAGAGCTGGGTGCTGAGCCCCAGTATGACAGAGAGGTCCCTCGCTGGCTCAGAGGGCCCTGTCCCAGCCACAGCTCCCTCACGTCTCACTGTAGACTATCGATGGCGTGTTCATCCGGACTTTGAAAGTCAACTGCAAAGTCACCTCTCGCTTCGCCCACTATGTCATCACCAGCCAAGTGGTCAACAGCGCTGACGAAGCCAGGGAAGTGGCCTTTGATGTGGAAATCCCCAAGACAGCCTTCATCAGTGACTTTGCCATGTATGTGCCCTGCCTGACTCTTACACTCAGTCCCAGAGATGTCCATTCACTGGTCCCAGTCTAAGCCCATGGCTCAGAGCAGCCAGACAGTGCAGAGCATCTCTGCATCTCCAAAGGGCCACAGGCTGGCCCTCACTCCAAGGGAAGGAAGAAACCGTGTAGGTCTGATCTTGGCTCCCATCTTGGAGGGGAAGCTGGGTTCTCTGACAGCATGTTTTCAGCCCAGAACCCAAAAAGCAGAGGCCAGCATCTGAGGCCCCTCACTCCTCTCTGTGACTGGGCTGCCCCACTGTGGGCAGTGGAAGGCCGGTCAGGAGATGCCCTCCTACGAGCGCTCACGTGGACAGGGCCTTGCCAGGGTCTAGGCTTGGCACACCCCCAGCACGAGGGGCCTGTGTGGCCCAGGAGCAGTACCTCCCCTGAGGGTGTTCTTCCTTCCCTGCAGCACAGCAGATGGAACTGCATTTATCGGGGACATAAAGGACAAAGTGACTGCATGGAAGCAGTACAGGAAAGCAGCCATCTCAGGAGAGAATGCCGGCCTCGTCAGGTGAGTTCTGGGCCCTGCTGGCCTGGTCTCCAGGGCTGCCCTCCCCAGCCAGGATGGACGTGAGGCCTGCGAGGGGGCCTTGATGGGGAACAGCCTCAGAATGACAGAAGAGTGAGCAAACTGCCCAAACCCAGATGCTGGCACAAGTGCACTCAACAAGGCTGGTATGCAGTCACCCTTTTCCCACACCTGCCTCGGGGACAGATGGGCCCCATCCTTGGGCCCTGACCCTGACCAGCTGAGACAAGGTTGAGGGTCAAGGAAACTGAGCAGCACACATGAGAAATTGTTTCTGAGGGCCATGCTTTAAGTGACAGCGATCCACATGTCACTTACACTTTGCCTGTTTTGCCTCTGGTGGCATGTCCAGGGCCTCGGGGAGAAATATGGAGCAATTCACCATCCACATGACCGTCAGTCCCCAGAGCAAGGTCACATTTCAGCTGACCTATGAGGAGGTGCTGAAGCGAAGCCTTACACAGTACGAGATCGTCATCAAAGTCAAGCCCAAGCAGCTGGTGCATCATTTTCAGGTAGATCGCAGGTCCCAGGGCAGGGCTCCTGCCTCTGTCTCTCCCTCGCCATGGCTTTCACCATTGGTTCAGAACCCACCATGGGTCACCCCAGGCCTGAGAACACAGGGAAGAGGACTGACTCCTCAGGGTGAGCTCTGATAGGCTCTTATTGGGCAAGGAGCTCTCTGAACCCTCCAACTTCTTCCCCATCTCTGAGCCCCGGTTTGCTCATCTGCTAAATGAGGGATTTCTGCAGGGCCCCAGAATTGCCACAAGGATCACAAGAGATACTGAATGTCCAGGTAATGTGTAAGCCAGCAGTCCTGGGAAGGCTGAAGGGCTGGAATCATCGCTGGCACCCGGGTAGTGGCCAAATTGAGGGGTGCAGGTATGTGCACCTCCATTTGGTAAAGATTTTCAGAGTGCCCACTATATGTCAGGCCCTTTGTTGAGGGCTGGATGGGCACTGCACACAGTAGGTGGCCAGGACACATGCTGGCTCTTGGCTGAGACTGGGTGATGGCCCAAATGGGAGCCCTGGTACAGAATTTGCTTCAATGATGCAGATCGATGTGGACATCTTTGAGCCCAAGGGCATCAGGAAGCTGGACGCCCAGGCCTCTTTCCTCCCCAAGGAACTGGCAGCCCAGACAATCAAGAAGTCCTTCTCAGGGAAAAAGGTATGTGGGATTGCAGGGGATAGTGGCAGACCCTCTAGGGGCTTCTTATCCTGACCCATCCCTTACGGAACATCCAGACTTAGCTCAGAGACCGTGCAGGGGCTGCAGGCTGCCCTCGGGATGAGAGAAGCAGGTGCCACGTGGTAGGTGTCCCAGGGGAACGCAGCACTCCTGATTCTCAGAGTAATTTAGCAGAAGCCTGTATGCTGAGGTGGGGACTGCACCAGCTCTGGCTCCACCAAACGTGGCGGCATGGTCCAGGGTGAGTTGCTGGCTCACTTGAGCCTCAGTTTCCTCTTTGCCTGCCTCGCACACAGGAGAAAGTATTCAGGGGAAACGTCCAGCACATAAGCAAGCCTCAGGTGCTGTTGTGGATAGGACTCTAAGCTTCAGTTTTCTTGGAAACGTAATTACATTTGGGAAGGCCCTTGGCCTACCCAACGACTTGTCCATTGCCACCTGTTTGCAGGAATCCCAGAAGTCCCCTGCTTGCCCCCACCACTGGCTCCTGGAGGAATGTGGGTGGCTCGGCGAGTACCTGCTTCCTGATTGCCCTCAACCCGAGCCAGGAACAAACGCTTTGTTTCCCACCCCGCTTACGTAGGGACTCAATAGCAATTCACGTAAAAGAAGTATTTTTTACCGTTTAGGGGGGTTCCTCTTAAACAAAATATGACATCTCAGAATGTTAGCAAACATGCTTGCTTTCTGTGGGGAAATGGGGTAGGTCCTTGTCTTCCTTCTTCTTTTTTTTTCTTTTTAATAGAGACAGAGTCTTGCTCTGTCACTCAGGTTGGAATACAGTGATGCCATCATAGCTCACTGCAGCCTTAACTCCTGGGCTTAAGCAATCTTGCCTCGGCCTCCCAAACAGCTAGAGCTACAGGTGCGCACCACCATGCCCAGCTAACTTTTTAATTGTTTGTAAAGACGGGGTTTAGCTATATTGCCCAGGCTGGTCTTGAACTCCTGGCCTCAAGCAATGCTCCCTCCTCAGCCTCCCATAGTGCTGGGATGACAGGCATGAGCCACTGCCCCCAGCACGGGGCCCTGCCTTCCTAACAATTCTTTTCAAAGTTTTTCTTTTCTTTCTTTATATCATTTTTTTTGATGAATCTATCTCATTTTTATAACAAACAAAAATAAAAACAAAACTTTCTTTAAAGAAAACATAGAGAGTACAAAAATATAGAAAGTATTGAGTAAAAACCATCCCTGGCTTCCCTTAGCACCAACACCAGCTCAAACCAGACCTCAGCTTCCATTCTCAGCACTTCCTTCTGGTATCTGCTCTTGGTCCACACAGGTGGATTTTACTTCCCAGTGCAGTGTTGTAGTCTTGCTTTTTCACTCAACAGTTTGAGCTCACTAATGTCTCTCATGCTATCACGCTGCTCTTATTTTGTTCTTATTTATATACTCGAAGTGATGATGCTTATTATAGGAAATCCCACTGATTCAGAAACATATGAGCAATGGTTCTTCTCTCCTGCCACCTGCAGGTGCACTCTCAGCGGCTAGGAAAGTGGCCCACTAGCCTCATTTCTGTGCCCATGCAAACGTGCACACACACACCTTCTTATGTTGTCTTCCAACCAGTAATGGTTCACGCCCCATGGTTCTAGGGTCACGTGGTTTTCCGCCCCACCGTGGCCCAGCAGCAGTCCTGCCCTATGTGCTCTACATCCTTGCTGAATGGGGACTTCAAGGTGACCTATGATGTCAATCGAGACGAGCTCTGCGAACTCCTGGTGAGCCTGAAGCTTCTGGCCCGACCAAGAGGACAGGCAAGGGATGCTTGTGAGAGAGACCTCGCTCATTCTCCTCTGTTTCAGGTGGCCAATAACCACTTTGCCCACTTCTTTGCCCCCCAAAACCTGACGAACATGAACAAGAACGTTGTTTTTGTGATTGACATCAGTGGCTCCATGCGAGGCCAGAAAGTGAAGCAGGTAAGCAGCAGCTTTGAACAGCTCGCCCAGTGGAAGCTTCTTCAGCCCCCCTGTTCACTCCTGGCCAGTTTTGCCACCAGAGTCTGGTTTGGGCTTGATGCTGGGTGATTTGACAGGAAATCCCAGCAGTTAGGGGCTCTGGAATCAGCACGACTTCCTCACCGTGCAGCCTTGGGCAAGTGCATTCATCTCTCCTCAGTGGCAAAGGTGGGAATAGTAACAGTGCCCGCAGGGTCACGGAATTTCCCCATGGGGACGTGCTAGAAGAGGACACCTGTGCACAACAAGTGCTGGGGATAATTATGGTGGTCCATGGAGAGGCGTCTTGTAGCAGGGCACAAGCCACTGACCACTGTGCTCTGAGTGCCCTGTTTGCAGCGCAGTGAAACCACGGCTAGACAAGCAGAGTTCTAGAAGCACGGCCTCCTAGGGCCCTCTTTCTTAATCCTGCCCCTCCCAAACTCCTGATCATTTCTTTTCTCCACGCTGGGTCTCTTTGCCTTCCGCATCCCCCTCATCCACCCCAGGGCCTGGCAGGACACTCCTCTCTCAGGGCCACCTGGCTGTCCAGTCCATCCTGTCCTGCTTCTCCACACTGTACTTCTCTGAAATGAGCATCTGGAGTTGATGGAAGGGGCTATCCTGGGGCCACTCTGGGGCTCTGTCCGTCTACTGACTGTCCTGTCCTTGCAGACCAGGGAGGCACTCCTTAAAATCCTGGGGGACATGCAACCAGAGGACTACTTTGACCTGGTCCTCTTTGGGACTCGAGTGCAGTCATGGAGGGGATCACTGGTGCGAGCATCTGAGGCCAATCTGCGGGCAGCTCGAGACTTCGTGCAACGTTTCTCCCTGGATGAGGGTAAGTAAGGGTGGAGGGTCTCAGGCCACTTGGTGTCACTTCTGTCCCCTCAGAATGAGAACATAAACTGATCTGCTTTTCCTCTTTTGCAGCCACAAACCTGAATGGAGGTTTGCTCCGAGGAATTGAGATCTTGAACAAAGCTCATGAAAGCCTCCCAGAACTCAGCAACCATGCCTCGATTCTCATCATGTTGACAGACGGTGATCCCACAGAGGGTAAGCACCTTGAGGGCTGCCTTGGGAGGTGATGATCTCCTTGTTACCAGAGATATTCAAGCTGAAGTCGGAGACCCAACCATTGGAGATGCCATCAGGGGGCAGAAAAGCTCAGGGTACATTCAAGCACTGGTCTAAAAGCACAGTTCAGACCACGCAGTCTGCAGTAGCTCCAAGGCATACCTCCTGCGAGTTGAGGAACTGGGGACGTTTCTGCATGCATGACCTGTGCTGCACAGGGCCCAGGGGGAAGGGCAGGATTCCTAGATTGAGTTTAATGAACTATTTATTCATCACTGATGTGTGCCGAGCATGGGACAAAGGTCTGAGACAAGATACGAAGGAAATGAGACATGTCTCTGCCCTCAAGGAGCCCGGGGTCCACTGGGGGAGGCAGGCCCAGGAGCTGATGTTCTGCTGAGGGCCCTGAAAGAACAGGCTGTCACGGGGCTGTGCAACTACAGACAAGGGCAGGGTTTGGAAAGGTCTCCCGGACCAGGTGACTCCTGAGCTCAGTCTGGAGAGAGGAGGGGGGCAGGAAGGCATGCCTGGTGGAGGTGGCAACTTGAGAAAAACAGGTGCGTGCACTGGCAGGGCCTGCCCAGGAACGGCAGGCATGAGCAGAATGGGGTGAAACAAAGGTAGGAAGGGCAGCAAGGAGCCTCGAGAGGGCTTAGAGCAGAATCGGGTCTGCATGTGATGGATCCTCATAGACCGGCAGGGTCTGCAAGGAGCTCCGTCAGCAGCTGTTGCAGTCCCCCAGGTAAGCCAGGAGGAGGCAATGCCTCAAGATGCCTAGAAGTGGGCATCTTGGGGACTAGAAGTGGTCTGAGATGGGAGGCTTGCACCCCAGGGAGTGTTCCCCAGAGCCCCCTCGTGCGCCATATGCCTGCGGGCTGGCACCCTGTCACTGCCCAGGTATGTGGCTGCAGGGGTGACGGACCGTTCCCAAATCCTCAAGAACATCCATGAAGCCATACGGGGCAGGTTCCCGCTCTACAACCTGGGCTTCGGCCACAATGTGGACTTTAACTTCCTGGAGGTCATGTCCATGGAGAACAACGGACGGGCCCAGAGAATCTACGAGGACCGTGACGCCACCCAGCAGCTACAGGTCTCCACCTCCCAGCCCCCATGTACTGCCAACAGCATGCCACGGGGAGCCTAGCCAGGGGGCCACTTACCCATCAGCCTAGAGGAGCAGATAAAGCTCTGGCACAGAGCTCAAATCAGCTGCGTGACCTCAAGCCAGTCACTTAACCTCTCTGAGCTTCGGATTCCTTCTCTAAAATGGGAATTCCCAACACTCCACCTTGTGGGCAGGCTTCCCATAGGGTCTCAGTTCTGCGCAGGGTCTCAGTTCTGAGGCTGCACTTGCCATCCCTGCAGGGTTTCTACAAGCAGGTAGCCAGACCCCTGCTGGTGGATGTGGAATTGCAGTACCCCCAGGATGCTGTCTTGGACCTCACCCAGCACCACCACAAACAGTACTATGAAGGCTCGGAGATCGTGGTGGCCGGGCGCATTGCTGACCACAAACTGGGCAGCTTCAAGGCTGATGTGCAGGCCCATGGGGTAAATAGTGGGCCCTGGAGGGTAGAGAGACAAGGCAGCACCCAGAGGCTCCAAACCCACACTGTTCCCCAGCACTGCCCTCTCCCAGGGGCCTCTGTTTCCCCAGAGGAGTGCCCCCACTCCCACCAATGCACATACACCCCAGGCCTGAACACAGAGGCATCCTGGGGCTGGACAGGCCGGAATGGGGTCAACGCGTCCGTGATTAGCGGCAGTTACCTGTTATTTCTTATGTCATTCCCCCCGAGGTGAGAGAGCAAGAGGCCAGCCTCTCCCTTCTCACTCGACAACCATTTCCTGAACACCGACTATGTACCAGGCTTTGTGCCATGGCATAGTGCTTGCATGTGTGTGCACATGTGTGGTGGGAAGGGGGCACAGGCATGTGAGACCTGGATCCTGCCCTCCAGGGCACGGACTCGAGTCCCACAGTGTGGTTGAAGATTCAGAACTCAGGTTTTGAGTGAGGAGAGCTGAGCTAGACCCTGACTCCACCCTGACCAGCTGTGTGTCCTTGGCAAGTGGTGGGTCCAGTTCTCTAGGCCTCAGTTTCCTTTTCTACACCATGGGGATATTACTGCACTAGAGTGTTGTGTGGAGTAAATGGAATAATTTGTCTAACACCCTTATGCAGTGCCTGGTGCGTAGGACGCCCTTGGGAAGTGGCGCCCCCATTATTGTAACTGGAGAGAGAAAGCACCTTTGTGTGCTGTGGCAAGGTGAATAGTACAGCCCACCTGTAAGTTGTTGGGCATGTGGAGGAGCAGGTCATGGTGGAACCCGCTGAGTACTTGCTGGCTTTCCCCAGGGAGAGTAACTCTATGAGGGCAGGGTCTGGTCCTTCCATCCCATGGGATCCCCAGGGCCTAGGCCAAGCCTGGCTCACAGAAGGTGCTTGGCAAACATTTGTAGAAGGAATGAATGAATGAGGATGAGGAGAACAGGCTCAGGAAAGGGGGTGATGCTTAGAAGGAATTTGCAGAGACCAGATGACAGTGGGGACCCTCAGAGCCTCAAGCACCAGCCGAGGGCTGCACTTATCATTACACACGGCCTCTCCCTCACTCACCTCCCAGGAGGGACAAGAATTCAGGACAACCTGCCTGGTGGATGAGGAAGAGATGAAGAAACTGCTCCAAGAGCGTGGCCACATGCTGGAGAACCATGTTGAGCGCCTCTGGGCCTACCTCACCATCCAGGAGCTACTGGCCAAGCGGTACAGCCCCATAGAGCCCAGCGGGGTGCTGTCCATCCCAGAGACCCCCCATCCCTCGGATGGGAACAGAGAAGGGGTGGTTCTGGGCCTCCGAGGTTACGAGTAGGTCAGATTTACTTTCCTCTGCTGCTTTGCTCACTGAGTTAATATAAACCAGTCGGTCAACAATGTGTGCAGGCCTGGCAGCAACATAGGGCAGCCTGCTGTTCACCCGCACTGGGCTGCCCTGGGGGAGCTGCTGCTGCCATGGGGCTGCTGTGTCCAGACACATTTAACCCTCACAATGTGTGGGGGAATTCCCTGATCATCCCCATTTGATAGACCAGCAAACTGAGGCTCAGCAAGTTTAGACCACTTGACCCAGATCTCAGAGCTATTAAATTCTCTGCGATCTCTGAGGCATACCCCTCAACCCTGCCACGTCTTCAAGTTTTCTCTGTGGAAGATCATTAAACCCTCAGGTCCCTGAGGTCACAGCCACTGAATGGGGCAGGTGCTTAATACACGATTGTTGAATGAGTGAATGAGTGGATGAACAGGTGAGAGGATGAGGGAGTGCAAACCCGTCATCGCCTGGATGGTGAGGCTTGGAGCCGGCATCCGTCTCACTCACAGGATGAAGGTGGAGGGGGAGGAGAGGGCCAAACTGTCGGCCCAGGCCCTGAAGATGTCACTGGCCTATCAGTTTGTGACCCCGCTGACCTCCATGACCATCAGGGGCATGGCGGACCAGGATGGCCTGAAGCCTGTCATTGACAAGCCCCCAGAGGGTACGGGGAGTGGGGGTCTGCAGAGGGGGAGATCATGGGCCAAAAACCCCCTGGGCTTTAATTCTTTTCCCTTTCCTTCTCTTCCAGATTCTCTGCCCTTGGGTGAGTTCTAAATCGTGTTGGATTGGGGCAGGGCTTCCGGTGGCCGGGCAGGTGCAGGGGTCCAGCCCCTGGGCACACAGCTCCCACGCCTGCACGTTCCTGACTCCACTCCTTCTTCTCCACTCCTTCTTCGAAGGCTCTTCCCTCCCCTAGACGCCCTTCTCCACTCACCTGCGAACCCCTTGCTGTGCCCTTTGTGCTTCATGAACCCCCAGCAGCCTCCCCGGGCCCTCCATGTGGGGGTGCATGTCTGTGAGGAGGTGGGACCCCAGGGGAGGCCCAAGACCCCCAGGAGGAGGGCTGGGCCCAGGCCTGGTGTGGACCGAGCTGCGTGCCTTTTGTGTGGGGCACCGTTGGTGACACTGTCCTCTATGTCCTTGTCTTCTACAGAGATGCTGGGACCCAGACGGAGTGAGTGGCAGTCATCCTGGCGACTCACATCTCTGCCCCTTTCTACTCCACACACTGCTGGCCTCCGGCTGTGCATTCCGTCCTGACCAAAGCCCCAAGGCTTCCTCCTTCCGGTCCAGCTGTCTGCACTGCCTCTCACTGGGAGTCCTTAGGACAGCCCCCCGGACAGCCTGGCCTCCCCACCCAGGGGCCCATGGGAGGAGACAGACGGGCCAGCCAGCTGCACTGGGCCAAACTTTTGTCCCCACATCCCGAGAGCCAGTCAAGGGCATGTGATGCTTAGTGGCCACCCTGCTCCTGTGGCCTCAGGCCAGCCTACCTGGGAGGTGGGGGGGCATCAGAAAGGGGGCCGGGAGCTCCAGGGCAGGCCTGGCCTTCCCTTCTAAATGCCATTCACTCTTGCCCACCAGCGTTCGTGCTGTCAGCCTCGCAGCCTTCTCCTACGCGCCCCAGCTCCAATATCAAGCAGTTGCCTGACAAAGTGACTGGTGGTGAGTCCTTGGGAGGGTCTGAGGGATGCCCCTGCTTCGCACCTGCCTAGTTGAACCCTTGCCCCTAGCCATCCCCATCTACCCAATGCCCAATCTAATGGACTCCATGCTGTGCCCCCAGTGGACACTGACCCCCACTTCATCATCCACGTGCCCCAGAAAGAGGACACCCTGTGCTTCAACATCAACGAGGAGCCTGGTGTGATCCTGAGCCTGGTACAGGACCCCGACACAGGTACGGCGGACGCCATGCCTCTGCCAGACAGAGCAGGGCCGGGGCTCTTCTACCTTTGACATCCAGCCAGGGACAGGACTGTGGCCAAGGCCTCCACTGCCCGCTGCCTGTGCACCGCCCACCTGGCTGGACTCCACCTGCCGCCTTCTCACCCCGTCTTCCTGGCTGGGCCCTACACAGGGACAGCTTCACCGGCGTGTGACCTGTGCAGGCAGCATACAGGGGCTATACTTGGAAGGGCCTCGAACTGGGTTTAACGCTCTTCTGTTGCCGTCTGGAAATCCTTAACAAATTTGTTAGGAAGAGGCCCTTCATTTTTATTTCCTACTAGGTCCTACAAATTACAAATTACGTAGCAGTGCTGCTCCACCTTCCCCCACACATGGCTGAACAGGGCCTCAAAGTGCCTCTCTCTCTCTCTCTCTCTCTCTCTCTCTGGGCAGTGCCCCCCGTGACCGGGAATGACTTTCTCTCCACCATATGGCCTCTTCCCCCTCCTTTCTCCCTCCCCCCAGTCCAGTGAGTCCGTCTGCAAATGCTTGTTGAGCACCCGCTGGGGCTGGGGATGTAGTGGGAAGAAGACAGGCTTGCTCCCACAGAGCTTGGGGAAGGGAGAAGACGAAGAGTGAGCACATTCTGAGGGGACCATCTCAGAACCTGGATGGGCTGTGCTGGGACGGTGAGGGTGGGGAGGGGCTGCTTGGCCGGTCAGGTCAGGGGGGGCACTACTGCGAGCCTGCCCCTGCCTACGGGACTCAGGCCACAGAGAAGGGGCAGCCTCGGGTCCCATCCTCAGGTAGCAAGACCTCGGCCAGGACCAGAACCGAGGGCTCAGTGTGGAAGGCTTAGTGTGGCAGGAGGGGTGGGGCGGAAAGGGAGATGGAGTTCTGAAGGCCCACAAAAGGCCAGACACTCAAAGATGGAGTGGCGTGGGTCGTGCCTTCCAGGGAGGAGGCACGGCTGGCGGGCCTCTCCCTGACCCGGACGCTCCTCGCCCCCCTGCAGGCTTCTCAGTGAATGGGCAGCTCATTGGCAACAAGGCCAGGAGCCCTGGGCAGCATGAGGGCACATACTTCGGGCGGCTGGGCATCGCAAACCCCGCAACGGACTTTCAGCTAGAAGTGACTCCTCAGAACATTACGCTGAACCCAGGCTCCGGCGGGCCCATGTTCTCCTGGAGGGACCAGGCTGCGCTGCGGCAGGATGGGTAACCCGCCAGGCTGGGAGGGGAGGCAAGGAGAGGCATGGCACGGGCTGAGGGCTCCCTGCCTGAGCCTGCAAGGCCCTGCCCCTGAGCCACGTCAGCGGTTGACAGCCACGTGGCCTGTGCAGACACGCCCATTTCCCTTGGTTCCTGGACATGTGCTCTGGGCCCAGCTGCCTGTGCTCGTATGACATCCCGCCCTCAATGCCACCCCCACCTCCACCAAACAAAGCCAGCTCATCCTCCAGGCCCACCACAAAGGCCACCTCTTCCCTGAAGCCTTCTCTTCTTCTGCTGAACAGAGTTCTCTGGGCTTCCCCTGTGGCATCTGTCATAGTCTTCCTTGTGCTTTTTCCTGTCTTCACTCATTCAATCATTCGACAAACTGTTGAGCACCAGAGCCTGATGCTGGGTAGCTGAGCTTTAGGAGGAGGTGGACAGAGTTGGGTGTGTAGAAGACACAGGTTACAAGTGGGAGTCAGAATACAGACTCTGATGTTAGGCTGAAATGTAAGTCCTGGTTCCACTGCTTACCAGCTGTGCCACCTCGAGCAAGTTGCTTAACCTCTCTGAGCCTTGGTCCTCACAAGGTCAGAGTGAGAATTGAATGATGCAGTTTGTATAGGAGGGCCTATCACCAGGCCTGGCTCACTGTAAGGGTCCCATACACACCAGCAACATGTGGGGAGGAACATGGAGCAGGTAACAGCCCACCACCTGGGGGTGAAGACCACAGGGGCAGGGGACTGGACATAACAGCTGGGACCTGGAGCACAAGAGCAGCTGAATGGAGAGGGAAGCAGTGCAGCCACACCTGCCCTCATGGCCACCTGGCCCTGCAGGGTGGTGGTGACCATCAACAAGAAGAGGAACCTGGTGGTGTCCATAGACAACGGGGCCACCTTTGAGGTTGTCCTGCACCGGGTGTGGAAGGACAGTGCGGTCCACCAGAATTTCTTGGGCTTCTACGTGCTGGATAGTCACCGGATGTCTGCCCGGACACATGGGCTGCTGGGTATGGCTGCCAGGCGAGCAGAGTTGTGGGGCAGGGTGTTGAAGCCAGTCGACTCGTGGGTCTTGGGGCTGTGGGGCAGCTTTGCAGCTGGGCACCAAGACAGGCCCACCCCCGATGTGGCCTCCAAGGCTCAGAACTCCAAAGACAGGTTGTCTTGGTGAGGGTCTTGTTCCTCAGAAAGGCTGCGATCAAACACAGTGAAACAAATGCTTAAGTGAGTCTGGGAGCAGGTACAAGGAGAGGTCCTATTAGCAAACAGAAAGGTCCAGAGGGTTCCCAGGGGCCTTGTGAGTGGGGTGGGTCCTCGACCACAGTGCCCCTGGGTGGCCTTCCTATGGACACTGCTCTCCATGGGCACCTGCCCCTCAAACCTCTCTCCCCAGCCAGATCCCTTTGGAATTGATTTAAAAAGACGGGAGGAAGAACCACCTGGAAATATATGTGCTTCTCTATAGCAAGTGAACTGAAGGTGGCTTTTGATGCCAGGACTTACGAGAATTAATCAAGCCCTTGAAAAAAGTATTCGAGCAGCTCTCTAAACCTCCAGTGAGCACCTACTGAGTGCAAGCTCCGAGATGGTAACTGCTGCCTCCCATGTGCCTTCCCAGGGCAATTCTTCCATCCCTTTAGTTTTGAAGTGTTTGACCTCCACCCGGGCTCCGACCCCACAAAGCCAGATGCCACAATGGTGGTGAAGAACCGCCAGCTGACGGTCACCAGGTGGGTGGGTGCTCCCCAGCAAGTCCACCCTGGGCTGCTTTGCATTTGCTTTCGATGGTCTGGGCCTTCCTCCAGGTGTCACACGGGTAGGGTGAGCTTCCTGGGGAGGTGCCACCCTGCAGGTTCCAAAGAGTGACCCCAGCTGACTTGTCTCTCCCCAGGGGCTTGCAAAAAGACTACAGCAAGGACCCCCGGCATGGGGCCGAGGTGTCCTGCTGGTTCATCCACAACAATGGGGCTGGACTGATCGATGGCGTTCATACCGACTACATTGTCCCTGATATCTTCTGAGCCCTCTAGCCAGCACACCTGTCCGCTCCTTGGACCATTGCAGAGGAGGACAGCGTCCTGACCTGCTGCCCAGGCTACGCCTCCCTGACCAAGCTGGTCCCCTGAATCAAGCACCCCATGACTTCCATTAAAGAGAGACTGTGTCCATCCCAGAGCCGGCTGCTTTCTGGGAGGGAGGATGGTAGGGAGGCAGCCAAAGACACTGTCCCTCAGAAGGGCTTAGGGCTCACAGCAAACCGAGGGATGGGAGAAGCAGGTTGGAGGAGGGGAGAGGAGCCCACGCCAGCTCTGTCCCCTGAGTGTCCCCTACACACAGCTCTCCCCTAGGCCCAGGGACCAGTGGACACTCTAACAGCATGAACAGCCACAGCTGACCCAGCAGTGCTGCCTGTGGCCAGGCATTGTTTTAGGCACCTCACTTGAATTCACTAAGTCTGTGCTCCCAGCAGTCCTAGGGGACACATTCATCATGCCCATTTACAGCTGAGGAAACTGAGTTGGGTAGTTTTTCCAAAATTACTCAGCTTGTAAGTAGCAGAGCAGGGTTTGAACCCACGCTGTCTGATGTCAGCAGCTGTGCACTTAACCACCCCCATAGGAATACTCCAGTCAGCTGGGAGGCTGATGGCCGAAGCCTGTTGGGACTTGGTTCTGGATATTCCAAGTATCGCTTAAAATGAACATGGGAAAGAACTGTCACAGGTGGATTGGTGTCCTGAAGAAGTCCCACCAAGAGCGGGAGGTTGCACTGTTGGGGTCAGGGCCTCCCCCTCAGCCCCATTTCCCTGCTGGGCTTTGCAACCTCTGACAGCCAGGCTGGCACTTTCCAAAGACAGTGACTGTAAGTTTGGGGCACCAGGAACAGCACCTCTCCATCTTCTCACGTAAATGCCTGGAACTGCCCCATTGGGGCTCCTTCCCCTGGCTTGGCCTTGGGGCTCAGTTAAAATGCAACATCACAGGGAGAACCCCTACTTTGGGGAGCCCGACACGTGAAGGGGGTGGGCCTTCACACATTCCTTTCCACAGGCTTTCTGCTTTTGCTCTGCTGGCTTCTGCCCAGTGCCCCCTACCAATGAGGTCCACAGGGCCCAGATCAGACGAGGCCTGGCTTTGAGGGCCCAAACCAATGACACAAGTGCTGAGCTCAAAGGCTGCTCCAGGCCTGGGGCCTCGCCCAACTGGGGCCTCATCTTCCCCTCCTGTAGAATAAAAGTGAGATGAACCTGAAGATCTCTTAGATTCCCTCTCATTCTAAATTTTGCAAGATGACTCTGGTTCCCTCCAAGTCCCCAGTCATCCCTTGGGGCTCTAGAGCAGCTTCAGAATCCCTATTTCGAGTTGTCCCTCTCCCCAGACTCCGAGCACTTGGGGATGAGGCAGGAGGATGGGAGCAGCTCTGCTGGCAGCTGCATGCCCGTGAGGAGGGGCCATCGGGCAACGGGCAACACTGGGCAGCAGCCAATGAGCAACAGTCTCGGCCATCCAGTGGTCAGCGGCTACAGCTGCTGAAAATTACCATGTGCATGGGACGTCTCAGGAGCCAGGAAACAATGAGACTGCAGCTCTGAGGGGTCCTCTCCCCACATCCAGGTGTCAGTGCCTGCTGGCTTTGGCCCCTTCAGCCTGGGCTTGGCGCCTGCTGCAGTAGGGGTTGGCACGAGGGTTTAGGAGGCCTGAGGGAGACAGGCACCGCCCAGCCAGCTTCACGCACAGGCAGTGCCCCCTCGGCAGCTGCATCTGTCACTTGGGCATCGTTTCCCTGACTTGGCAACCCTCTGTCATTGCTCTGTGGCTTCTTCTTCTTCTACCCACAAGTCCACACTGTCCTCGTGACTGCCACTGCCTCGCAACTTCTGCTTTCTGCCCCCTCTGTTTCTCTGCTCCCAATAACCAGTCAGGCCCAGAGGTTTCAGCCGAGGCCGTGGCACAGTCCATAAATTAGCTGTCCCGGGCCCGGGCATCCTCATCCACTCCATTCAGTAGTGGGCCACCCCGGGCAGGGTCACAGGGTCAGCTTTGCTCAGAGAAGCCACAGGTGTGGCGCGCATGTGGCAGCGGCCCTGAAGGGGCTGGGAACTAGCAGGGCCCTGGTGTGGCTCAGGAGGTCCCAGCCCCCACTGGGAGGGAAGCTGTCATTGTCCTGGAGGCCAGAGCCCAGCCTGACTGGAGACTTTTAGGGGAATGACTCCCCAAGAGACTGAGGGCAGCCAAGTCCCTAGCTAGACCCTGGGAGGACAGAGGGAAACGTGACATGGCTCAGCCCTCCAGGAGCTCTGGGTCTCGAGGGGGCAGTCAGAGGTGAGCACACAAACCTCGACATGTTAATACAGTAACAAAGCTGGCCGTCTGGGGTTTGGGGCTGGGAGCAGGGCTGTCCCGTGGTCCATAGGGGACAGAGGAGGAAGGCGGCTGGAGGGGAGGCCCCGCGCAGAGGAGGCGAGGGCTCGCCAGTGGGAGGAGAGCACGTTCGGAAGAGCCAGGTGGAGCCGGATGGCAGAGAGCTGGGCCGCAGGACTCGGGGTGTGCCCTTTCCCTGGGGCCCTGGGAGCCACAGCAGCCCCAGTGAGTGAGAGGCTCACCTGCAGCGGTCTGAGCCTGAGGGTGATGGGTCTGGTTTTGCACCCTGGCTGCCTTGAAAAGGGAGAGGCTGAGATCTAGGGGGCCAGACCAGAGGCTGTGTCAGTGGCAGGGACAAGAGGAGACAATGCTGAGAGGCCCTTCGCTCTGAATGCAGCTCCACACCTGTCTCCACTCCCCACAGGGAGTCCCGGGGCCCAACGTCAGCACCCAGCGTCTGCTTTCCTGAGGGCCTCCATGTCCCTCCCGACTGTTAGGAGTGAAGCCCCAACGCTGTTGACAGTGACCACTGGCCCTCTCAGACACGCATCTGGGGGCCGTTACCCCGCCCACGCCCGGCTTCCCAGAGGAGCTTCCCGCTCCTGCCCCTCCCACTCCCACTCGGGTCGCTGACCCTGCTTGGGAAACACCAGGCCAGCTCACATAAGGAGTGTGGGCCTGGTCTGTGTGCTCAGCGATGGCATCTGCTTGGTGGCCTTGCCTGGTCTTGGCTCTGCTGTCCGGCTTGGCAGCCTCTGGTTTCCCGAGAAGCCCCTTCCGGCTGCTGGGGGTGAGTCTGGGCCTCTTGGCCCTCTGGGCCTCAGTGTCCAGCGGGCAGCGCGGCGAGAGGAGGCAGAGGGCTGGGCGGTGAGAGAACTGAGCTCAGCCGAGGTCCACAGTAGCCTGCTGTCTAACCCCAGGCAGGGCTCTTAAAACTCCCTGAGCCTCGGTTTCCATACCTGTCAAATGAGCAATGCACCAGAACGCTCGCCTCCCTGAGGGCTGTGGAGGCCCTTGTCTTAGGCGAGTGCAGAGGCCTCTACAACATGCTGAGCTGAGCCCTGCGGGGTGTGGTGGGTGGGGGTGTTCTGGGAGAAGGCTGAGGGGGTCTGGGGGGCCAGGGAAAGGCAGAATGAGGTGGGTATGTGCGGCATAGAGAGGGCTCTGGGTTCAGGTCTCCCTGCCCTGTCCCCTTGGGTAATATGGAGAACTGCCCCTCTCTGGACCTCAGTTTCCCTGTCTATTCAGAGGCCTTGCTGCTCTGACACACACTCTGGGAGGGCTCTCAAGCGTGCGTGGAGGCGGGCCCTGCTGAGCGCTGGTCCCAGACCACAGCCTGCTCCCACCCATGTGGCCTTGGCCTTGGCCTAACTCCTGTTTGTTGTTATTTTTGCAGAAACGGAGCCTCCCGGAAGGGGTAAGAACTTTCTCTGGGAAAAGGGCCAGGTGGGGCAGGGGAGGATGGAGCTGGTTGCCCAATTGCTGAAGGTATGGGCCATAGCAACAGGTCCCTCACAACTGGCAAAGGCTCACAGCCCCCTGCCCCAGCAGACTCCTACACGGCGCTAGGACCCCTGGGAAAGAGCACCACAGAACGAGGCCCCTCCAACCTCACGGGCCCCACCAGGCATCCCTTTCTTCCCCAAACCCCAGCACATGTCAGCACGTGGCCCTGTGCCCAGGACTGAGAACACAGTGAAGCGGTGCCTGTCACCCTGGCAAAGCACTTCATGTCCCTGTTCAACTCAGACCCCTGTCCAGAGCCCCCTCAGTCCAAGACCACCGTGGGAAAGAGAGTGTCCAGGAACCCCTTAGCACAGGAAATAAGTTCCTGTTTGGGAGACAGACTCTGGCAATTATGAAGGACACAGGAGGCTGCTGGGGTGTGTGTG